TACTCGATGGTGAGTGTTAAATAACTAGCTACACTTTCATAAAAAAATTAATTTTAAATAAATGGAAGGGATGAGCTAAGGAATGCTAAAATGTCTCTTCCCTATTTATATTTCCGCCACTGTACCTATGAGTCTACGTCAACCGACTATTCTTTAAAAAGCACGTACACATAATGTGGAGCACAGGACTGAAGTATTCCAGCTACATGCATATGTATGTGAACAACATAATCCCTCCCACATGCATATGTACATATGTATGTACCCTACAGGAGATCTCTCTAGTACAAAAATAGTTCAAGCTGGTCCCTCTTTCCACAACAATAGTTCCCGCTTAATCTCCGAACAACGGCTTCCACTGTCCAAATCTTGTTCTCGGAAATAGTAACTTTATTTCATGGGGACACTTGCGCACTGCAGGGTACATACATAGTATGTACATAATATATGCATACATACCCTCCTTCCTACTTCACAAATCTGTACATACATAAATATGTATGTATGTATAACTTTCTCGTCAATCCAAATTCATTTATAGAGTTCAAGGGAAATTCCTTGAACGTTTCGTTTTAAAATTAAAGTATGATTATCATTTTTATACCTGATACTAGACATATGTACTGATGTACGCAGATCCCCAAATATCAAATTTTTTGATGCAGGTGGTATGTCTAAGTGTGTATGTAAAGATATTTTGCTTTGTATTTTATGGAAATACCTAGTTTCCCTGCCAGCATTTTCTATTGCCGAAGTTACTAATTCGACACGACATTTCTGTGAAAATCATCGCCGATGATATCGCTATTTTTTCGAATTCTTATCCGCTCTCGGGAAGAACTGTTCCACCAAGACGTCACGTCTTTATGATACGAAAGCGACACAGCAATTAAGAACTATTTCGATAGGAATGACAGTAACTTGTACGATAAAGACTGAAGTGATAAAGAAGACTCTTCTGTTGGTTAAATTTTTGATAAAACTTAATAGGAGATTCGGGGTACCTCTGAGCTTGCAACCACAGCCGCAGAGTTACTTACGCCATCAACAATCTCCCTTTTTCGGCTTGGACTGCTAGCTCAAACGCACTTACATTTTATGAAATTCCAATTAAGTATTTTAAAAAGCAGTTCCAAAAATGTATGGTAAAAAGGCAATAACATAATAAATCGAATAATGCATCTGTTTAAAATCTAAACGTAATTTTATTATTTGTTATTCGAATATGATTGCTTGCATGTTAACTGAAAAATAAAAAAATTTTGAAAACAAAAATATAATTTTACTTGATTGAACTTTAAAGATATTCCATGTAAAGCCCTGTATGCAGCTCTCAAGAAAACGGTCAAGAAAAAATTGCCATTATTTCGCGTGTGTGTCCAAGGAATTTTGACATTTTTGATACCTCACAGCCTGTTGCCTCACTCTTTCCTCAAGAAATAATGGAACGGGCATATATTAGTTGCGATCCCGTACGAGTCCGGACTAGTCAGAAATAGTCAGAATCAGTCAGATTTTACTGGAAATCGATCCCGTACTCGGTTCTCTGACTATTGAGGGGACAAAAAAGAGAGTAAATTCGGTTCTCTCTCTGTCAGAAGTTACCAGTTTTAGTCCGAGAATTTTTTGCTGGTAAATTCTGGTAAAAGTGTTAAATGATCAGCTGTAGTGTGTTTGGCAACCAAATTGTAAACAAAAGAAAAGTGCACTCTGCTAATTCATGTTGAAAAGTATTTAATTACTTGTTTAAGTGGATTCTAATGAATTCGAAAGTATTTTTGGTTATTTACATGTGTGAGCTGAGTGTGTTTACATACAAAGTAAGCAAAAATTTACAACCAAAATTTGGAGGTTATGTTGAAGTTGACAGAAGTTATCATTTTTTACTAGAAAGCGATCCCGTACTTTTCAATGTTACTCTCTCGCTCTGAGCGAATTTTTATTTTTTGACAGTTTTACTAGTCCGAGTCCGAGGAATACGGGATTGCACCTATTTCTGTCGCGAACCTGGGTTGCCTTGTGCTCTTTTTTCACAAAAAACTTTAGAAAACCGTAGTAGAAAGCGTAGTAAATTTCTTAAGAACTGCGTACTGCCTTAAGTAAATTTGACTCAAGAAAATTTCTTAGCCATTTCTTGTACGTCATTTTATATGGAGTTTTTGCTTTTCTTGAGAGCTGCATACAGGCCTTTAATTATTAAAACTTCAATGAGTAAAAACCGTCAGAGCACCTCTAAGGTCCGGTTTCTCCATCTCTGGTTAACACTAACTCCCCGGTTAAACATTGTTATCGACGTTCTAACTCCATGCATATAACAGGGAGTCGATAAGGTCGGTAACGATGTTTACCGGGGGATTAAGGCTCTGTTATGCATACTTGGCAGTGCATGCACTGCTATACCATTTTTACGTGGAAATCAAAAACCAACAGACTTCTACGTATGTAATGCTGTGCGTTGGGTAACAGCTTACACGCGAAGCTCATTTAACAGATTCCTTATGTGACAACTCTCAAGCAATGCCAAGTATGCATAACAGAGCCTTTAGTGTTAACCGGAGATAGAGAAATGTTTTTATGAAATGAGTTACTATCGCTTTGATAACTTCCAATAGTGACAAAGAAGTGACTAACAGGTCTATTCTGCGCTGGTAATAAAAAGTTTGTAACCGGTAAATAAAGTTCCTGTCAATTTTTAAACCCTTTTCGCATTCTGTGTACTCTTGTAACCGGTTAATTTTGTTACCATCTCATAAGCTGGTAACAAAGTATTGCCCCGTGAAATATGCAATGCCAGAATTTGCACAATTCTTCATGGCTGAATTGCTGAAGATTTTAACTGCATTACCAACGTTCCTAGAATCGCGGTGACAAGAACTGGTAAAATTTTTTGGTAATAAAATTTTCCGGTTACAAAATCTTCGGTAACGTGCAGAATAGACCTGTAAACGATGAAATTCTCTTTCAATTGCTGACAGGGTTGTTAACGTGGAATTTCCTATACAGCTGGGGTATGCGTTTACTCTTTCTGCTGAGTTATGTATAGGGGTATTCGCCAAATTGAGCAAGTGCCCTGCAGTGTTGCCAGAACTTTTTGGGCCGACCGGCTAGATTGGCAAAAAAAAGCGGCTAAAAACGGCTAAAATGTTTTAGTGAAAAATCACATGCTTTATTTAAATAAATCGCAAGAAACGAAAGACTAGTTAACACCATTAATTTATATCGAGTGTATATTCCTCATCATCAAATGAATCACTATTGTATATATCACCTGAATTCTACAGTAAAATTATGGCAGCATTTTTCTTCACGTTTTAAACCGTATCTTATACATAAAATAGCGTTTAACGTTTTAACGCACATTGGATTTCTTTGCTTAGTTTTTATTATATTCATTGAACTAAATATTCGCTCTACTCCTGCATTACTTATAGGCAAAACAAGAAAACTAAAAACTAGGTTGGAAAGGTCAGCAAGAGGGTTTTCTCCTAGGGCATTTCGAAATTGATAAACTTCGGCCCAAAATTTTACAGTTTAGTCTAAATTACTCCAGGTATGTAACGGTAACCGTTGCCATTGCATCTCTATGGATGTTATTTCGTCGGCATTATATTTGTGTTTTCGTTGCTGTAGTTGAACAAATACTTTTGGTTTAATTACTCTTAATGCATTTCCAACCGAAAAAAGTCAATTTTTTTTAGTGTGGCAATATTTGTAGGGAGGCGTTGGCGTAATTCCTTTATTAAAGTGATAATAAAATAGCGACCATTTTCTCGAATTATTTTCTCGGCTTCGTGGTCAAAAGCGTTTGTGCTTACTTTTGTTTTTAAATACTCTTCAAAACTGTGATAAAACTGAGGAAATGGAGCAAGGTATGGTTTCAACGGGGAGCATATAGGATCAAATGTGTCCGCGCTAATAACCACTAGGGAGCATAGATGCGAAAGTAAAACATTGAGTTCATTAAAAATCTTCATTGGGTCTGCATTATTGCTTTCGAACAACTTGTTTACTTTTTGCACCTGAAAATTAGGCAAATAGTAAAATCGGCTAAAAACGGCTAACTTTTTTTACAAACCGGCTAACAAATCGGCTGCCGGCTAGATCGAATTTTCTCCGGCTAGTTGCTATCAAAACCGGCTAAATCTAGCCGGAAAACGGCTAAAATGGCAACGCTGGTGCCCTGGCACTCTGGCAAGGGAGCACATTAGCTCAAGCATTGACTGCTGTCAACGGTCGGGCTAATCCGCTCTTTTACCAGAGTGCCAGGCCACTAGCTCAATTTGGTGATGCCTATTATGTATTTTGGTGTTGTATTCATTTGTATACTTTTCAGACATCTTTGGCTTGTATTTTTTAAACAAATGATACCTATTTGTTTGCTGAATATAAAAAAAAATTGCATACATTCATCTATGTGATAAAGACCTTCAGAAAGTTTATACATACATATGTACATACCGGTAGACCAGATGTCAGAGCAAGTTTAGTTCAGACGCAGTTCTTAGCAAATACTCAGCAATATCAATTAATGCCTTCCAAACGCATACATATGTAAATACATATGTATGTATGCTTGTGTATACGTAAAAATTGTTTAACCAAATAAAAACAAGCGGCAAAAACATACTCACGCAGACAGGAAAGTCACCCGCAAGGTAAATGAATTCAGGCCATTAAGAAGAAGAAGAAAGAACATCAACGAATGACGAATTCTAAAACGCTTGCACAGTGCGGAGTATTTTTTTATTTATCACTTCCACCAATAACAATAATAACAACAAGACAAATAGAAACACACCAACACTTTACAACTCGTAAGAACGTTTCAGCACACGCTAGAACAAACAAAAACAACCGCGACGTCGGCATCAGCGTCAACGTCAGCGAGCGCAAACCTAGAAGAGGGTAATATACATACTACATATGAATACCAAAAGGAACGTGTGCTCCTATATATCACGTCACGTTTCCCCTCGTTTTCATATAAATACGAGCGCTCTCCAACCCAAACACAACAGTCAAGTTCAAACTTTCGTTTGACTCTGAACGGTAAATTAACGCAGAAAATCGTTGGTGATAGCAAAGTGCGCAACAGTTCCAATTTGAAGTTGGAAAGTTGATTTCTTTTTTTTTTAATTTCAATTTTGAGAAAAGTTCATTGATTTTTAAAAGTGCGGGAACTTCATTTGCGATTTTACGAGCAAAGAGTCATTTGAAGTCAACTTGGTTACTCAAAAGCCATAGATTTTCACCCAAGCGTGTTCCGTAGCAGAGTATTAAGTGAAATATCGTATTTAAAAATCAAACACGAGGCTAATTTGTCGTACATACGAGTACATACATACATATTAAGTTTAGTAAAAAACAAAACTTAATAAAAATGTCACCAACTGCTCGCCAGGCTTTCAGCCATGCCCTGCCGAAAACCAAGAAAATTCTTATCACGGACCCTATGTTGATGCCGGAAGTATACTCATCAACTCCTGGCGGTACACTCTACTCGACGACACCTGGTGGTAAGTTTTCCAAGCTGCTTAGAAAGTAAATTCAAATCAGCACACTCAGTATAATAATGTAATAAAACACTTATGAAAAAAAAGAAAGCGTTTAACGATAAAAATGTTATCTACTGCTGAAAAATTTTTCGAAAACAGTCCAGAGTGAAATCGCGAGTATCAATAAATTTCAAAAAAATTTTTTGGAAATTTTATATGTTATGTGAAAAGTGAATGTGAAATTCACTTAAACACGAAAATGAGAAAAACTTGGAACCCTACAAAACAAAATTGTGGCAGTTGGCTAAACGCTTCATTCATTTGATTTTGTTTAGATATCGCATGAGCTGAGTGATTCAAAAAATAATACTTATTGCGTCATTTGTGTCCAAATTGTCATCTAATTACTGACCATACATACATTCAGTAATTTATTTTAGAAAATAACGGAATATAGGTTTTATCTGATAACAGAATATTCTATCTTCTTATCGGCGAAGTTGGCTAATTCTGTTGTAGGGAAATGTTTCACCATGACACAAATGGTCGTGACTACATAAAAATTTACAAATGTTTATCGTGTTGGTGTAATAGGCGCCATATACAGTGCGTGTGACCCTCGCATTATCTGTGTACGTGTTGACTCGCTTTTCGACTACACACAATTGAGACATTCAGAGCCATGTCGGTGTAACCACAGTATAGGTATAACGAACACACTAACACCCAAATCGACTCGGGAGTTAGACGCACCATGTATGCCGCTTATAAGACGCGCATTATTGTTATATTCACCTCAATATTGTTAACCTTTTTGATTTGCGTTATTCAGAATTTCTATTTATTTACACACAATTTTTAATTTATCTTTTACTACAGCACCAAGCTAATCTACGAGCGCGCATTTCTGAAAAATCTGAGAGGTTCACCATTAAGTCAAACACCGCCCTCAAATTTGCCTACTTGCCTGCTACGTGGAACGCCACGCACTCCATTCCGAAAATGCGTACCGCCACCAGTGGATTTAGTAAAGAAGACACAATCAATGAAAATAGAAGACCAAGAACAGTTCCAGTTGGAATTATAAGAAATGTAACTAACACAACGCAAGCTCCAGTCGTTGGTTTGAAATGAAAATGCTTGGATAGTCGAGTCCTGCCGCAACAAACACTTCAACAAAATGAAAACTATTCCGAAAACTGCCATAAACTCGAAATTTTCAAATCTGAAAGAGAAGTTGCAAATGAAACCAAACCAACGAAAAGGATGTACATCTCATCAATATGTTTTTAAGCTGCGTTAATCATTATCATTAATTTATATATTGCATTAACTGTGGCTCGTCGTCAATGGGCTTTTTCATATTTTTTTTTTATTTATCGTTAGAATTATTTAATACTGCTTCTGATTCAAGTTAGTTTTTTAGTCTAATATTTTTTTACGAAATGCTTTAATTAAACATAAAATCAATATGTATAAAATGAGTGGTAAATGATATAAGTTATAAATTTCAATTGAGCATCGGTCATATTGACCGCCTTAGAATGTTAAATATATGAGTACATGATCAAATTTTTGTCCAATTTTTATGTGATTTTATTCTATCATTCATGTATTCTTAGTTACATAGTTGTAGCTGTAAGTTGTACATAAATTATAAATAATTGGAAATACAAAATATAAAAAATTAAATTATACTTAAATGAAAATACAAATGTTTTTGTCAACACAACCAGCGGTGCCGCTTTGGTAATTTTTAACCAAAATTGGTAATTTTTTTCTTTATTTATCAAGTTTGGTAATTTGGTAATTTATTTTTCAATTTGGTAATTTTTTTGAGTCGGTCTTACATGTCAAATAGGTAAATATTGGTTCTGATTCCACATTAGTAAGGGGACCGTAAGCGTTTCCTTTTATAGAAATACCAGGTAATCGTGAAAGTTTCGCAAGACGAAAGTTGTTCCAGCGTTCCTTGGCTACTAGAATGGTGTGTTCTTTAACAAACTGCTTGAAAGTGGCTATTGCTAAGTATATCCACCGTGTCCTTTCCTAGAAGGTTTTGGATGGTCCTACCTTTCCTTGTCAGTTCGTCGGCTTTTCAATTACCATCAATTTTCCGGTGTACCCGGCAACCATATATATGAATAGAATTATACGTAAATACGTATGTTCTCGTTCAAAAAGCTAAGCGGGGGACTTCACCTTGTCTATATGTGAGTCGAAAGCTTTCCTTCAAGCGTTGAATTGTTGATATATTTTCTTGTCACTTGTTAACCGACTTCCAAAAAATGAGAAGGTTATCAGTTCGTCAGGATATTTTTATTTTTTTATGTATGTTACCGCATAACTTTGGACCACGTCAACTGATTTCGATAATTATTTTTGCATCGGAATGGTAGTGTCTCCGAGGTGGTCCCATACTAATCTGGTTTAGATCGGATCATTGGATATATATATATATTTTTTGGTTATTTTTTATAAAAATACTGTTCTTTCTTTAACAGAACTCAGGCTAATTAAAATTTCAAACTTTGTTCAATGTTAAAAAAAAATTCAACAATTTTTCGTAAAAATTTTAGGTTAATGGGGCGCTGATTGCCTGAAAAGCTTGGTATCTTCGGATATATACATTTATGTATAAACATATCGAGCCCTAACTGCCAAAATAACATAAGCGACATTTTTCAAAATAATCTTTTTGATGCAGAAAGGCATCTAGATGCTCTAGGAATATTTCTGCATCAAAAAGAAGAATTTTAAAAAATGTTGGTACGTTATTTTGGCGGTTAGGGCTCTGCACATAAAATAAGTTTGGTAATTTTTTGTTGAATTTGGTAAATTTTTCCGGTGATTGTGGTAAAAAATAAAAAAAAAATTGTGGCAACACTGAACACAACCCTGGAGAAGCAGTTCTCATTTATGTAGTACATACTCTTATCGTATGGAGAATTCTATGCAAAACACGCACACTAAATACGAAAGAGCCACTACTTGAAAATCTCCAAATTTTAGGTAAGAAAAAAATTTATTTCGCAGAAAACAATATAGGTTGATTTTCCCAACTCGCCAGAGGCTAGAAGTTTTTGCCTGAAACCACCAAAAAGGGTTTCTATACAGTAGGGCTGCCATATTCCTGAGCCCATCGACCAGGACAGTTATCATCCAAATCAAAAACGAAGATACAAGTGAATATGGTGCCAATATATTTCCTATAAGTACAGTTGCTTTGGTTCTGATATTATACGCAATTTAGTTTTGTGGCAAAATCCGTACAGCTGTATGATTGATGATGAAACGCATGATTCAATAATACAAGGTTCGATAAACTGACCGTTGTCTCTCTCGCACCGCTCCCTTAGCAGTGGCACCGTGTTGCTTCTTTGCAAATTTACATGGAAACAGTGTACCTTTGGTGTGAAATAGAAGTATAAGCTTTTGTGCAATATGTTTATTTGTATATGCATATGAAGCATATTTAACTGATGAAAACATTACCTGTTTATAAATTGGATGTTTACATCAATCTCATAGTAGTCTTATTTTAATTTTGAGTCATTTTGCAGTTTTTATACAGCTAAATAGCACATAAATTGCGTAATTCACGTAGATATATCAATATTACGTTCAACATTTCGTTTAAAATGCCAGATTTCCTGCAAATACATTAGAATTTACAAAAGGAATTTGACTACTAATTGCCTACTTTGCGTACTTTTCTACTACCATTTTCGCAACAAGAGATTTCATTATTCCCCTTTCTCCGTCCTTCGTAAATGCAACCTTTTGTAAGGGAGTGTCAAACCGCAGCTGTCAATAATTATCTAACCTTGTATTATTGAATCATGACATGGTGGAATAATAACAAGGTGTTGTTAGTAGCGACGTGTTTGTTGTAATTTTGACAAAATCGGCATGCTTATTTTCAGTGCTGCCGATCTTAATTTTTATACTACTATTAGTTGCGAAATAGTATCTAAAATATTCCATTTTAGTAATTCGTTTTATAGCGATTTTTAAATAACTTGGTGTTTTCAGAACAATATTAATATTTAAAATTGATGGATTTGTATAATTTTTGTCCTCAAAATGTAAAAAAATAAAAGATATCGTGGTTATCAATGGAAAAAGACGTACACAAAAATCGTATGGAACGGCGATTTTTTATATCAAATAGATTTTGCTGCATTGTCATAACATTGAACCAAATGGACTACTGATACACTAGAATAGAGTGGCTGCATGGTTAAATTAGGAATTCGCTTATATTATCGACATTTATGTGTTTTAGTCTATTTAAAAAATAATTTACAGTCTTATAGGAAATTGCCTTATATTACAGCCTTTACTTTTTTAAAGTTACTATATATGTCCAAGTTGTGTGGAGCTGCCGATACAAACATATATTCAGGCTTATAAGCCTGTAATTATACATTTTTCTACATTTAATTTGAAATAGTTTGCACCAACGGATTAAAAGTAGTAAATAATTAGTACCTTTTCTACTACTTTAAAATGCGTGACCGGAATAGACCTGCCGAAAAAGTGAGGTTAAGTTACTGACAACACCTTGTTATTATTCCACCATGGAATCATGATGAAACGCTCAAGTTCTGAATTTTTTTTTAATCACAAAAGAACTACGACGGTGACGTAACTTGGAAAAAGCGGCGCCTTAACGTGGCGGTGGCATTTTTAAACAGTATTTAGGTTTTGCTATCCATCTGGCGTGATGAAAAGCTCCTGGTGTACGAAAAGATATGGTACAGGTGACGTTGAGCACAACCTTTAGGTTCGTCCAAATTGGAAATACCTCTATGCGACCTTTAAGACTAAACAGGCTAGGCGAATCCTCTCTTGCAACTTTTTCAATCTGATACTGCAATAAAAGCTGCTAATCTGAATCGTAGCGGCGTCATATATGTAGTACAGCAAAAGAACGATGCTGTCGGCGTATGCAAATGATATTGAGATCATCGACCTGAAACTAAGGGACGTCACCGAAATATTTTCCACTATATGTAGAAAAAGAAGCCAAAGAGGTTGGTCTAACAGAGAACGAGGTTGGGTGCTATAACTTTGAAGTAGTGTAGGACTTTATCAACTTGGGCGCCAACTTAGCCGGTATACTGTCGGCTCCGGGCCTTGTTGTTCTTAAGCCGCCTCATTGCTGTTCTCACCTCGTCTTGGTCGAATAGGGGAACGTGAGCTTCGTCCCTATACATTGGTTCGGGTTTTTCTTCATCAAGCGCGTCACTTGTAACGCCGTTCAAAAGCATTGAGAGGTGTTTCTAGTATACTCTGGACATACATATGTTACCAGACTTCCATAATCATCTTTGCAGGAGCTAGCCCCTATCTTAAAACCATTTGATTGCTGCCTTATTTTCTGATAGAATTTTCGAGTCGTATCTTTTCCTGCCAGCATCTCAAACTCCTTACGCGTTAGAAGCCTCTCTTTACTTTCTCTTGAAAAGGCGACTCTGTTCCTTCCTTTTTCTGGGTATCTATTATTATTATCGTATTATTCTGCAGCAGCCGCGCGGCACTCAATCATGCCAGTTGTTTTTGCGCAGTTGATAATAACCAGGGAACGGATTTTATGGAAATTGCCTTTTTTTCTGCTAAAGAGATAGAGTATATTCGATTAAGAATGTCCACGATTTAGCTTTCGCTGATTCCATATATGGACAAATCTAAAAAACAGGAACACTTTCAAAACAAAAAGTTTAATTGAAAATTGTAATATTTGTTAGGCTTTTCCGATCTAACCGTTGTGCAAATAAAAAGACTTTATTTAGCTTTTTGCCGACGTTTCGCTAAGATTTTTATCATCTTCATGGGATTTTTTTGTTTATTTACGTGCGCAGCAACAAATATAAAACATTAACAAAACAACAAAAAACCAATAAACTTTAGATACATAAAAAAATAAATAGTTAAGTTTAACACAAACTAGTTTTAACTTACATTACATTAAAACATTAAGCTTTAGAACGTAAAACTAAATATCATTACCAACGCTAGTGGAAGCTTTGTCTAAACTGAATGTTATTAATATTTATAAACATAATAAATAAACTGCAGCGATGTCTTTCTTGTTCATTGCATTGTCCCTTTTCTGCATTATTCAAAAAGATCCTAAAAAGTAATAGCTACCCAAAAAGTTAACACGCGGCTTATCTATCTATCTATACTATAATAAAACTGTAAATTGCTTGTCTGTTTGAGCTCACTAATCTCAGGAACTACTGAATGGATTTTCATCGGGCTTTAACTGGTGTATAGAGAGTGACCTCGGACGTAACCTGGGGTAGGCGTGAAATTTTTAATCAGCTATAACTTCGAAACCGTAAGTCACATGACTTTGAGATTTGGTGTGTTCACATACATATCTAAGATAGATGGTTATAGTAAAGTAGATATACTTTTGTAAAAGAGGCACTTCCTATGGTTTTGAAATTTTTAATCAGCCATAACTTCGAAATCATACGTCACATGAATTTGAAATTTGGTATGAAGACATATCCATCGTACGCGCTTATAGTAACGTATATACATATGAATGAGTTTGAACAAGGAGGCG